CCAAGAAGACTGTCTCTTTGGTACTTTTTCCTTTGTTTGCATGTTTTTAAGAGGCAGGGTCTCACACAGGCTAGACTGGACTCAAATGCCCCATGTAGCCAAAGCCTTTGAACTTCTGAGGCCCCTGTCTTCACCTCCCAAGAGCTGAGATTACAGGTGTGTAACCAACCACCATCTTTGGCATTTTTGTTTTTTTGTTTTGTTTGTTTTGTTTTGTTTTTTGTTTTGTTTTTTCGAGACAGGGTTGCTCTGTGTAGCTTTGCGCCTTTCCTGGAACTCACTTGGTAGCCCAGGCTGGCCTGGCATTTTTGTTTTTGAGATAGTGTCTTATGCCCAGGCTGGCCTTGAACTCACTACATAGGCCAGGTTGGCTTTGAACTTGTGGCTATCCTTCTGCTGCAGCTTCCTGAGAGATGGGATTGCAAGTATGAACAACTATGCCTGGATTTTGATGTTTCTTTCCCACACAATGAACATACTGATGAGGTTGGGCTTTTGTCACTCATAGCAAAGGGGCTGAACAGCTTTCCCAACTGGACTTTAACTCCACTGCTGCATTATCACCATGGTGACGGTCCATTAAGACAGCCTGGTCTTCTGTCTCCTTGAGGTCTAAGCAATAAGCCAGACCCGAGTCTCAAGTCTGCTATCTTAGAGTAGTGAGTAACCTGAAGGTCCTGGCTTGGACAAGAACTGGGGGACATAGGAAGGCTAGCTTCTTCATAAGCATGGATAGTCAAAAAAAGTAAAGGGGACACTCCTACCCCTGCACGTTGCCAGCTCTAGACATCATGGGGAGACAAGCTCACTGTCACTTGGGCATCTAAGTACTCACAAGCACCACATGACCTCAGTGGCTAGAAGAGCTGCTGGGGTAGGTTCAACCAGTCCCCCAAACTCTTCTGAAGGGCACTGAGGGGGCCCTACACCCATGTCCCCTGCATCACTGCCTGGCTCTCTCATCTGGTGCTCTGCCCTCAAGAATGACCAAAGAGAAAAGCCCTTCCTTCCCTGCTCCAACGTAGCATATTTCTGACACCATGTCCCTGCTCTAGAATTGGGGTAGATGCTAATATTCACTAACATAAGCTACCGTTTTTCCTTGAATAAACTTTTAAGTATCTGGTTTATTAGCCTTGAATTGAGTGGCTATAAAATACTCGGAGAAATGATTACAAACCATTACTGTGGTTTTTCTCTTTTAGCAAACTCCAGAAAATGAGAGGTATCAGAAGGTCCTGTTCCGATGAGGGCGGTTTCTGCCACTGCCTTCTCATCTCTTGCCCAGAACAGGCAGGCCCTGTTTCACCAGCCCAGAGGTGTCCTTCTTGGCCTGCTCGCCTCCTCCCACTGCCCTCAGAGGAGCTGAAGCAGGGGTAGGTCTGTTTCCCCAGGTTTCACAATGACCCAGTTACTAAGGGAATCATTTGGAAATGGCAAAGGTTGTTTGGAAATCTTTAAAAGGCTGTTTCCTTTCCCAGTGCTGAGCTGTGTAACTTGATACTGACCTGTCCTGCGGTGTCACAGAGCTGGAGTCTCACAGGCCGCCCGTCTACTGACACCACAGCTTGGGGAGAGAAAAGAGCAAGATGATTATCCTGACATCTTTCACCCCCTCTGAAGATTGGCAGCTCCTCTTCTGCACCCTCTTAGTGAACTAAAGACTTGGCTAAATCCAGAAGCCCATGGAGGTGTTTTTACGTACAAATGTCCCAAAGTGGGGGCTCCCTCCACCACAGAGCATGAGGCAGCAAAGCCCTGACCCCTGGAAGGTGCCCCGGAAGGCTAGTGTTTTCCTCTCAAGTCTGGAAGATTAATTTTCCTGTCACCCATGTTTCAAAGGACCTAGAAACAACACAAGGTGGGGGGTTGGGGGGGGGGTTAGGTGGGAACCAACTCTCCAGTTTTAAATCAGTGGAAAACTTCATAGATAATTCTGTTTTCCCTTGGGAAAAAGTCTCCGGGCTTCAGGGTTTATCATAAAACTCCAACAGTTTTGAGAACTTGTGCAAACACAGGCGGCCTATCACCCTATGTGTGGAAAAGGGCACTCCTCTCTGTCAGTTCAAAAGAGGATTAAAAAGAAAAGCTGGCAGAGGGAAGCCACACAGGTTTTCACCAGGCTCCAGAGATGGGGTGAGAGCAAGAACTCCCATTCAGGAAACTCAAGCAGTTTTCAGTTTAGATTAGACAATTTGTCTCGTTCTGATAGCCTTTCTGGTTGTTTATAAATGTTTATAATGCTAGTGGGGAACGGAGTAGGGTGGGTGGGGGGGTTACCCCTTCACTTCTGTTTTATCCATGGGGTTTCTGAAATAGAGACAATCAGGGTCTGGCATGGAGACTGGAGGTCAGAGGTAAAAAAAAAAAAAATTAGGGGCAAGATTTTCGCATTAGCTTCCGTGATTTTTTTTTTTAACTTTTTTCTTAAATTCCAAAAAGACTTTTAAAAAATCAAGGTAAAGGACTGCTTTGCTTTTGTATCTTTGTATGATAACACGAGCCCACCCCGTGAGAACTTGCTGCAGCTAACGACAAGCTGGAAGGTCTGGGCCAACCGTCAGAAACCGAGACGGCGCAGGCGGGGCTCGGGCCAGGCAGGCGCCGGGCTCAGAAGAAAGGAACGTTCTCGCAAGCCCAAGCCTTGCCCGGTGCGCCTGGCCGGCTCACCCACGGGGCAACCCCCGTTGCTCCAGGCGGAGACCCCCAGGAACCGAGCAGCCACGGATGAGGGCGCAGGTGGGAAGAACACCTGTGCAACAGCTCGCTCCGGAAAGCCCGAGCCGGGCCGGTCGGACACCCCGCCGCCGCCCCGCTGTGCCGCTGCACGGGGACCCGCGCCGCCCCGCGCTCCCGGGCCGGGCTCCCGCGCCTCCCAGCCCGAGGCCGCGCCCCGCTCCGCGCTCACCCGAGAAGTTGTCGAAGGCCGTGGGGATGTACTCGGTGGGGTAGCCGTTGGTGGTATAGCTGACCACCAGGCTGGTCTTGCCCACCGCGCCGTCGCCGACCAGCACGCACTTGACGCCGCGCCCCTCGGCGCCGCCCGCGCGTCCCCGGCCCCCGGGCACCCCGGGCCCGCGCGACCCGCGCCCCCCGCGCTCCCGGCGAGGCGGTACGGGCGGTGCCGCCGCCGGCTCGCAACGGGTGGGCAACGCGGGCCGGCCTTGCTGCGGGGCCATCGCGGGCGGCGGCCGCGAGACCAGCTGCCACTGGCGGACAAAGGCGGCGCGAGGTCCGCACTCTGCTGGGCGACTGTGCCCGCGCGGCCGCGATGTGGCCGAGCCTGCTCCGCCGGGCTTCCCTGCGACACCGGCGGGCGGGGAAAGAGGCGGGTCCGGCGGCGCCTTCTTCAATCCGAGGCCACAGCGCCCCCGTCTGCGCGCAGCGCCTCGAAACAGTGCGGCTGGCGGATCGGGCCCCGCTGTACCAACCCTGAGCTCTCCCTGCCCCCTGCTACGGGTCCTCATATTTCTCACCCCTCCCGCCTCCTTTCCATACTCTCTCAGCTTCTCTTCCTGCCCTTACTTCTCCAGTTCCCCCAATTCTGTACCCTCCCCCCATCCTTATTCTGTTCCCCCATCTCTCCCGGTTCTTTCTCCTCCCTCTGCTCCTTCTCCCTTCTCCAGTCACCCCCTATTCTTTTTCTTCACCACAACCTCCTTCTTGCCCTCATCTCCCTGCTTCTATCTCTCCCTGTTCCCGCAGCTGCCCTTGTTCCTCCACCTCAGTGTCTTGGTTTGGAAGGGTAGGGTGCTGTAGACCCTGACTGCAGCAGTCCCCCAGGAGGAGAGAGAAATGACATCCTGGCAGCTTGTCGTCTTGATGAGCAGGACTTAAGTCTGATTACTGACAGTTGTATGATTTTCTTTTAAAAATCGTTGGTTCTCATTTGGGTGCAGGATATCTCCCTCCTCTCTTTGGCATGCTTGACTCACGGTCCAGCAAATTTCCTTACAGTCTTTAGTTAAATGCAATTTTGGCTGCATTAGTATTTTCTGAAAAACAAATAGTCTGTTTATCTTTGGCTCTCCTTTCTCTGCCCTTTCTGTGCCTGACCAGGGCACTAACGCTCCTGATTTGCTTCTGGTGTAAGAAGAACCTTATGCTGTTAACGTTAATATTATTTTGCCAGTAGTAAAGACAAGAGTTAGTAAATATTGAGCCTTGTTATGTACCAGATACTATTGTAACCACTCTGCCAAACCAATTCCTTCCATTTTACAGTCAGGACAACCTGAGGTACAGGGACACTGAATGACACGTTTGAGTTCCACAGAGGAAATGATGGTGCCAGGATCCTAACTAGCATCCTATATGCAGACCATACGCAGTACAGCAAGATGGTGTGGCCACGGGAATACAGAAGTGGGTTTGTCAAGAGGTGAGTTGTAAATCCAGGGTCCTGGCTGGGAGAGAGCATCATGCAAGGCCTCCATGCTGTTGGGCTCTAAGACTTCAATGCAAGCTATTTTCAGGACCGAGATATGGAACCCTTAAGAACCCTGGGAATCAAAAGTCTCCTGATGCTGATACACAGAATCTGAAGAACAAGAACAGGGTGTCTTGGAAATAGATTAGGAGCCTGGAACACTGTCTCCTGCAGCAGTATGGACCAGGGGAGCAATAAGAATGGAAACTCCCAGGTTAAGACCAATCAGCCCTCTTTTACCCTGTACCCTTGGGGACCCAAATTCCTCTGCTCTGGCAATTCAGGTAGACAGATTTGAATGTGCCTTCTGTCTCCTTCATGGTTTGACACTACATTAACGCTTTCTTTTTGCAAAACCATTTCTGTAATACTGGCTTCTAGGTGTGGCTGGCTGTAAGCTTTTGCTTGGTATTACAGCGAGGCCTGAAAATGTGGGCACATGATACTATGTTTCTGTAAATGTTGCAAAAATGTTTATACTTTAACTATTGTGGGTTAAGTCCATTATCCGTTTTAACTCTAACTTCCCGTCTTATGGAGTGGCCTTGAAGTAGCTGTGAACATTTTGGGAAGCAAGCCAAGTAAAATAAGGCTGGAGAGACATTTTGTTTGTGTTTAATGGGACACAGAGCCAGGAGGAGGGAGATAAAGAGGTGGCATGGGAACGCTTACTACTGGGAAGCCCAAACCCCCACTGCTGGCAGGAACCCGAGCCTCTCCTGCTGGTATGTGGTATACTTCATGTCTCATTTGTGACTGCAGACACTAGCCACACAGGTGTGGGAACAGTAGCCCAGGCAGAAACTGCCACCCTCTGTGGGAGTCCTGTCGGCTTTACCTTTCCTCAGCACTGGAGGCTCCAGGAGCAAAGAGCTGCTGAGCTTGAGATGGAGAAGACTAGGAGCCTGACTAGTGCAGTGCTTTACAAAAAACCAAAGCAACAAACGAAGGAACCCACGTGTGGTGGGCTTGGCAACCGCAGCTCTGTCTGGTCAAAGAGTCAGGAATGGATCAGAAGGTAGCAGATACAATTGGTAAGTATTGATCTGAATCCCGGTGTTTGTAAAGCAACACAAGTCTATAGTTACCCCACAAAGCACAAACGCCATGCATATCTCTACTCTTCCTCTAGGAAACACATCTCAAACTTTAAGGAGTCAGAGAGTTAGTAGCAAAAAGTTGGGGAAAGGAGTAAGTGCTACAGAGCTGTGTCAAGCCAGTAAGTCCAATGAGAATACTACGTTTTCTTACAATTTCGTTGGTGCTTACAGTACTTGTTAGTGTTTAAAATATGTAACTTACTTTGATGTGTTTCTTACTTTAAATACTTAATGTTGTGTCTGATTTATTGTTCTTAATAGCCCTGGCTGGCCTCAAACTCACAGAGATCCACCTGCCTCTGCCTCCTGAGTACTGATACTAAAGGCATGCATCACCATGTCCAGCCCAGAATTTTAGTTCTTAAGTTCTGATTTCAACAGGACCCTCTTGCTCAACATCCCTCCTGGCTACAAAGGCCCCTTTGGGACATCTTTATAAAACTGAACTGCACATGTACAGCCACGCCTCATGGCTAATTAGGTTTCTCGGACCTGCTAGTACCTAGGCTGGTGGTTGTTACCAGTGAGGAGACAGTACCAGTGTCTCCTCACATCCTAGGACTTAACCATTACCAGACCTTAGTCTCCTTTTCCATTGAGATGCTGAGGGAAAAAATGAGAAGAAACAGTCAACACTTTTTGCAAGAGAAGATGGAAAAATCATAAAAATGACCCCAAGCTGCCATCAGGGTATCCAGTAGGGTCGTGTTCGGTCACAACCGCCAGTGTCCTGGGGAAGGATTCCAGCACAGGGCCTGATTTGTGAGCACCGGCTCCTTACCTCCAACATCCTGTTTTCACTCACCCTCCCTTTGTTGATAATTAGAATTAATAAATTAAGAACTCTCACTAGAACCATAAAATTCAAAGTGTAAAAATCAGTGGTTAATATTGAAAAGAAAATATTTGCATCATTTTTTTTTTTTGCTACAGGAGCATACATGTGCCTGTACCCACACTAACAAATTCACACACCACACACCATAACACACACACACACACAAAAAAAAAACCCACAAAGAAAATGAGTGAGCAAAGAAGAGTGAATCTTACCAACATGTTCAGAAGTGAAAAAAGCCAGGCAGAGAAAAGTATGAGCTATCTGACTGGGGTATGTGACGTTCAGAAATGAGAGAAACCAAGCAATGCTGGATGGTAGCATGGTTGAGGAAAATTGTCACATCCAGGCTGGAGGTGGTCAGGAGGTTCTAATCTGAATGATGACTTCACCACTAGTCTTCAGAGTAGCTCATGTGTTTGTTTTATTTACTTCTGTAAGCCACATTATATTTCAACATTGTAGTGGTTAGAAATGTTCAAACATGTAACTTATACTAAATAGGACTTTGTGGATAGCTGTTCGCTTTAGACCAGTGCAAAATGACTCACATATTGTACATTCCATGGACTAAACAACACTCTTATCATAAAAGTTTAATGTGATTTGAGTAATCAAAATCCTACTGGTTCAAAACTTTCAGGAACACCTATCGGAAAGTTCTACTGTACATTATTTACATGTCTAATATTTATTTTAATATGGGCATCATCTTCCACAAGTGTTATTTTAGGTGTTTGATATTTTTAACCAACCGAACTGGTTCTGCAAGTTTATTATAAAAAAAAGTAAATAGCAATTCATACACATAACTTCCGGCAGAAAAACGAAAGCACGGGGGGGGGGGGGGGGGGGGGGGGGGGCGGCGGTTTGGAGGGACATCAGGTACATGACCACAGGAAACATGCTGAGCTCCTGTAGCTGCAAAGCATGCTGAGCAAGCAAGGCATCCAGCTTCCCAAGCAACACCTTTTCTTCCTCAGTTTTGGTTTGTTTTGCTCTTTAAAATCCCTGCTCTGGGTCCTTCCAGCTGTTGCAGCTCGGCTATGCACCCTACACAAGAGAGAAAGGCTAGTTCCATCTCATGTGACCATCCACAGTGTCCCTGGATGGGGTTGAGGGGGATACCCAACTGTCTGACTCCCTGCACAAAAGAGCCCCTTCTCCCAGACCTTCATAGCAATTGATAGGCTTCCAACTCCTAAACACTCCATAGAAACTCCCAGGCAAACGTTTCCAACTGCCAAGTCCTCAAGGATGATAAGAATTCTTTAGAAACTCCTCCTAGTTATTGCAAAACCTTGACCTCCCTTCACTTTGCAGCCACCATGGAGATAAGAGCAGACCAGTCAGCGATTCCCAGCAACCATGATTGTGGGCCAGAAGTTCTGAGACTCAGACTGTTCCACCACTCCCGGACTACAGCCTGACTGTCCCCAGCAAAACACACCTATAGATGATGGAAATGGAGGGCCACCAAAGGACCTCTCTATGACACCACAGCAGTTGTCAACCCTCACTGCTGGGTCCTTGGTAGCAGAGTGGATGTATGGATATCCAAATGCTATATGGATCTGTCCACATCTGCCTTTGAGAAGGAAGTGGGGTCCACTGTGCCAAGGGCCTCCTATTCTCTGTTGTGCTCATCCTAAGAGAATGCCCTCCAAGGCAAATCTACCTCACATAGACTTTGTACTAGGAATCTGATTTTAGCTGAATGGGGACAACACTGTTAGTTGTATCTCAGGAAGACTGTTTTCCAGGGTTTCCCAGAGAGTGGCAGGTCAGGATTGTGTAGGATGCCCTGCAACCCCACAATCAAACATCAGACATTAACTAGAGGTCCAGCAATGCAATTCTCCTAGTAACAATACTTTTTAAAGTCTTTATATAGTTGCAACCTGAGTGTGTAGCACACAGATTCATGAGTACAGTATGAAATATACTGCACAGGACAGCAGACCTGGGTGAGATTATTTGTCTCACCCCAGCCCATAGCAGTGAATGCCTCTGTGAGCCAATGCTGTGCTTAATATTGTAGAAAATGGAAGTATGCCTGCACATCTAAAGTAAGTAGAAACTTTGCCTCACTGTAGGAGAGCTTCGTAAACAACACTCACCGGTCATAGAGTTTCTTTTGAAAAAATTTTTAGATAAAAAATATTTATTTTATTTTTTAAATTATGTATATATGTGTGGATATACTTATGTGAATGATGGTGCTCCTGAAGGCCAGAAGGGTAGGATCTAGAGACACAGATGTGAGATACCTGACATGGATGCTGGGAATAAAACTCAAGTCCTTAAACTGGGTGTAGTGGCACACGCCTTTAATCCTAGCACTCAGGAGGCAAAGGCAGGTGGAACTCTGTGAGTTTGAGGACAGCTTGGTCTACAGAGTAAGTTCCAGGTAGCCAAGGCTACACAGGAAACCCTGTCTCAAACAAACAAACAAACAAACAAATATAAAAACCTCAGATCCTCTGCAAGAGTATCCCTCTCTTAACATCTGAATCATCTATTCAACCCAATTTTTAAACTTTTAAAAATGTTATTTATTATTGTGTGCATGTAATGTGTATGTGGATGGGGGCATATAGGTGCCATGGCACATGTATAGAGGTCAGAGGACAACTGTGTGGGGTCATTTCTCTTTTACTTTTACACAGGTCCCAGGGCTCAAACTCCAGTTGTCAGGCTTGTGTGGCAGGTTCCTTTTGTATCAAGCTTTTTTTTTTTTTTTTTTTTTTTTTTTTTTGCCAGCCGTCAGCTCACGATAACAACTCAGAGACTTATTAATTATGAAAGCTTGGACTTAACTTAGGCTTGTTCCTAACTAGCTCCTTTTTTCCCTTTTTTTTATTATTAAGACATTTTCTATTCATTTTACATACCAACCACAGATCCCCCTCTCCTCCTTCCTCATGTCCCCCAGCCTTCCCCCCAAACCCACCCCCCATTCCCACCTCCTCTAAGGCAAGGCCTCCCATGGGGAGTCAGCAGAGCCTGGTACATTCAGTTGAGGCAGGTCCAAGCCCCTCCCTCTGCACCAAGGCTGTGTAAGGTGTCCCACCATAGGCACTAGGCTCCAAAAAGCCCAGTCATTCACCAGGGATGGATATTGATCCCACTGCCAGGGGCTGTCCCTTAAACAGTTCAAGCTAAACAACTGTCTCATCTATGAGGGCTTGTCCAGTCCCATGGGGGCTCCACAGCTATTGGTCCACAGTTCGTGAGTTCCACTAGTTTGGTTTGGTTGTCTGTACATTTCCCCATCATGATCTTGATGTCCCTTGCTCATAGAATCCCTCTTCTTTCTCATCAACTGGACTCCTGGAGCTGGAAATGGTCCTTGGCTGTGGATCTCTGCATCTGCTTCCATCAGTTACTGGATGAAGGCTAACTAGTTCTTATAACTTAAACTAACCCATTTATATTAATTTACATTCTGCCATGTGGCTTGTGGCTGTTACCTCTCCTCCTGCATATCCTGCTTGTTCTGCATCTTCTGGCTTCTCCACCTTTCTTCTTCCCAGAGTCCTCTCTGTCCCTGGAAATTTTACCTAACCTCTTCCTGCCTAGCTATTGGCCATTCAGTTCTTTATTAAACCAATCAGAAGGCATCTTGGTAAAGACACATCTTCACAGTGTAAACAAATATTCTGAAATACCCTTTATCCACTAAACAATGTCCCCAGCCCTGCATACAGTTTCTAGGATATAGTCTTGACCAGCAGGACTGAGTTATAGTAATTTGTCTATAGTATTGTGACTGTGGTTAATGATAATGATTAACTGTGGTTGATGTGTTGGGTATTTGAAAACCACTGTCTTAGGGTTTCTATTTGCTATGAAGAGACATCATGACCACGTTTACTCTTATAAAGAAAAACATTTCATTGAGGTTTAGTCCATAATCTTCATGGCAGGAAGCACGGCAGCACACAGGCAGATGTGGTGTTGGAGAGGTAGCTGGGAGTTTTATATTCAGATCCACCAGCAGCAGGAAGAGGGAGTGAGACACTGGGCCTGGCTTGAGCTCCTGAAACCCCAAAGCCCACCCCCTGTGACACACTTCCTCCAACAAGGTCACCCCTCCAATAATGCCATTCCCTATGAGTCTATGGGGGCCATTTTCATTCAAACCATCACAACATTTGATTCTAAATGTTCACAAATACACACACACACACACACACACACATAAACACACACACACACACACACACACACACACACACACACACACAATGTCAAACATGGTGACTCACACCTGTAATCCCAGAACTCAGGAGGCTGAGACAGTAGATTCTTGTGAGTTTGAGGGCAGCCTGAATTATCTAATAAGTTCAAGGCCAGCGTGGGTTTTATTGTGGGAACCATTTCACATGTGTATGTATCGAGACATTAATCACTACAACATTTTGTCAATTACACCTTAATAAAGCTAGTGGTGGGTGAGGAAAAGGGAATCCTTTTAAATTTACTGTGGGTTTTCCTTTCTTCTCAGGTAGTGGGAGGACTGTCGCTGGCTCCCCCATTCAGCAGCATCTTCTTGGCACTTCATCCCCAAGTGCCAAGGCACTTGATGTGGCAGCAAGTGCACAGTCTCTTCACCATGGAGCTGGCACTTAGAGATGATATTTGACACAAATAAGTGGATAGTGCTGGGAAAGGCACCACACACATCAGCCACCCAAAGGCAACGGTGTGGAGTTAGGCGGCTGTGTGCCTGGGAAGGAGCAGCCAACTGGGGGAAGAGTAAGAACCAGAACCTGCCAGCAGGGACTGCTCCCCTGGTCCTGTGAAACTAGAGGGAGAGAAGCCACCCGGGGAACGAAAGGGTAAGTAGATACAGGTCATGGTTATGATGGGGTCAGTTCAACACAGGCCCGGAAGCCTGTGGGACAGACCTGAGGAGCAGCATGAAGTAAGTCAGGTTGCTGATAGGGAGACTGTCGGGGACAAGGGTAAGAAGAAGCCAGGTTTGGGACCTGCCTTGAAGGTAGAGCAAGCAAGATCCTCTTGGTGCCTTGGGTCTTGGATTCGCATACACATAGGAGTGGTAAGGACAATCCCAAAGACAGTGGCCTGATAGACTGAAGCAATTGGCATCTGAGACAAGGAAGATGTCGTCAGCAAACAGTAGTTTGCCAGGGCAATTCAAAACTTGCCTTGTACATTCCAAGTCTGGTAGTCGGTGAGATGCTTGATTGAATATGTTGACCAGACAGTCATACACAGGAGTCTGGAGTCCAGAGAAGACTTGGTGACAGGTGTAAATTAAGAGATTCATCAGCTTATCAACAAACATGGAGAAGGGGGATGCACACCCAGAGAAGAGAGACTGAGAACTGCATTATTCCATGTTAAATAAGAGGATTGGCATTTTAAAAGCTAAGATTCATTGAGCATGGCCAGATGTCAGACAATGAATAGGCAGACATGAAGAAAATACCAGTCAAGGCCTCCGCTGTACAGGGCTACCAGCACTAACACCCAGCACCCATCTGCAGACAGTTGAAGCAATCCCTGTCTCCTTTGCTCATAATGTGGCCAGCAATAAACCTGCTACAGCACTAGCGTGTCCCTGCTCTCAGAGAACAGCACCGCCTATCTTGCCACTGATTGCTTCACAATCTGGGCTTGGCAAGGAACAGAACAATGCCCATGGGAACACAAGGTGTGGGCGGCTGGGGGTGAGTCCTCAAGCATCCAGCCCAAGCTAAGCACCTGGGTTCTTCCTGTGTCCACGTGCCTGCTGGACTTGGACATTGCCCTGACTGAGCCAGTCGGCAAACCTGCTGGAGCTGGCTCTGCCTGACACAGCCCCTGCTCTCCAAGCTCGCTAGACTAGAAGCACAGCCAATAGGATGCAGAGAAGTGTCAGTCAGTCCTCGGCTTTGACTGATAATCAAACTCCATCCAGATATCTTGTTCCTGCCTTAAGAAGGAAAATGCCTTCCTGGAATTACAGATTACAAATGAAGCTCTTAGACTTGCTTCTTGCACTTAGCCTGAAAAAAAAAAAAAAAAAAAAAAAAAAAAAAAAGCCTAGCAGTGGTGGTGAATGCCTTTAATCCCAACATTTGGGAGACAGAGGCAGGTGGATCTTGGAGTTTGAGGCTAGCCTGGTCTACGGAGCAAGTTCCAAGACAGCCAGAGATACACAGAGAAACCTTAGAAACCTTGCCTCTAAAAAATAAACAAAAAACAAAAAGGGAGAAAGAGGTGATAACAGTCCCATGCCCACTGTGGGGTGCTCAGGGTGCCATTTCTATTCACCTCCTTGGATCCTCATGCAATCTGACTTAGTCTGAGAAAGGGCCCTGGGGAAATGGTTGTGTGGGATCCTATTCAGTACTCGGCTTTCATGATTATATAGCTTAAGAACAGACATGATGGGAAGATAACCCAAACAAAAGGACTCATGTGTCTGACCTGAGCTTGACGTTAGCACTTGACATGGCCCTGCTGGTCAAGTGTGCCGGTGAGTGGCACAGAACCATGCTGGCCTTTCTCTTGTGTCCAGTCCCTCTCAGACCCTGAATAAAGTTTTCAGATGATTGTCTGGATTCATGGGTGCTGCTTGGTCCAAGCACAAGAGCTGGATTAAACTGAGAAGAGTCCAGGCTGTCATTCCAATGAAGTACCTGCTTCTGATAAGACTCTTTTAAAAGGAGCTGGAGAGATGGTTCAGTGATTAAGAACACTGGCTGCTCTTCCAGAGGACTCGGGTTCAATTCTTAGCACCCGTATGATGGCTAACAACCATGTGTAACTCCAGTTCCAGAAGACAATGCTATCTTCTGGCTTTACCTACACCAGACACACACGTGGTTCACAAACATGGATGCAAACAAAACTCTCATACATATAGAGGAAATAAATTAATTAAATTTTTAAAAAGAGTCTTTCAGGAAAGTTGATGTTCAACTTTTCCCTGTGCTGATGCCAGCAAAAATGGCTCGAGTATAAGTCTCAGAGAATGGCTCTGATACAGTGCCCCCTTGTGGGGGCTTTCATAAAAATGAGGTTTGCAGTAAGTAGTTGATGAGGTTTCTCTCGGGCTCACTAGCCTCTCCAAGTGGAGTTGAGATACATCTAGGAATCTGCACTATAGTGACACCAACAGTCCACACAGCCTCAGAGGACAGGATTAGTCATTTTGGTTCTGGGGATAGTTATAGATGAGAGATCCCTGCCACAACTTTCTGACTCTGTCCTCACAGGCTGGCAGGAGGGTCATTACAGCAGCCACAGGGCAAACCACAGCACCTTTTCAAACAAGGTGAATCAAACATATATTTCTGATGGTGTAGAGATCTGAAATCTTTGTTCTGAAATTCTTTGTGGGAAACCATGCTCTGTGTTAGGGGCCTACAGAGCTGGCTCTTGGCTCCTGTCCCTCCAGCTCTGAGTGCTGTCTGATGGCATGTTCTGGCCCAACTCTGGAGATCGGCAGCCTGGGCCTTCTCACGCTTGGAGGGAATTGTGAAAATGAGGTCATTTGGTCAAAGAAGAGCTGGGATGTTCACCTGAGCAGAAGACGAAACTGTTGTTTTCTTCTTAACATCTCCTGATAGATTTCAGGCTGTGCTTGAAGGAAGAAAAAGACAAAACAATAAAAGCACAAAAGATTCTCAATAATTAAATTGGGGAAAAATATGAACAATGACAGCTCTGGAGTCACCTGATATTTACTTATCACTTATCAACCATATGATGCCACCACATGAAGTTCTGGTAGTTGACAGAGCCCACGGATCTTACAAAGAAGGTATACCTTGTGAAATCCAAACTCAGGAGCTGGTGAGGAGGGAAAGTCTTAGGTGAGGGAGCCACCCGAGGGCAGTCCCTCCAACTGTCTGCATGGCTGCTAGCACGTGGCTATCTAGAGTCTTGTCTGATGTAGTAGGAACTTAACATATGTAGAATGGCTTAATGGACTTATATATTATAATGAGAAATGACAAAGAAGTCAGATAGATAAGGAAAAAAGTATTATCCAGTGTACATTGGATGAGGTGTGGGAAAAAATTCCAGGAGGGGGAAAACGCACTTCTCCAAGCTAAAAATGATAAATCTCAAAGAAGTTCCTTCTGCCCTGAATCACACCAAATAATGGGAGAGACCACTCTTCGAAAGCGGTGACTAGATAATATGCAAAGAGACATTGCTAGGAGCTCAGTAACTATTGGAGGCTTTAACACACCACACAGAACATGACAGAGCCAGTGAGCTGAAAACAAATGGAGAACTAAACAGCAGCATCTAGAGACCCCACCAGGCTGAAAATACTTCTCAAGAAAATAAAAGCAAAAGTTAATATGACAAAAATGACAGGGACTGTTCAGGAAATCACAAATCGTTACAAAGAAAATCTCAACAGAACTATTACAACCAAGAGTCTTTGCTCACAGTGTAATAAACCTGGAAATAATTAACAACTAAAACAAATAACCAGAGGCTGGAGAGATGGATGGAGGTTAAGGGTAAGCCACAGTCATCCTAGGGTCCTCCCTGCTAGGTAGACCCAAGTGCTAGGATTAAAGGTGTAAGTTACCTAAGAATGAAATATTTTTTTTCGAGACAGGTTTTCTCTGTATAGCCCTGGCTGTTCTGGAACTCACTCTGTAGACCAGGCCTTCAAGCTCACAGAGATCGACCTGCCTCTGCCTCCTGAGTGCTGGGATTAAAGACATGCACTACCATCACCCAGCCCAAAGTATTTCTTCTAAGATTAGAAACTGTCACCTGAAAGTTCTGAAAGCATAAGCAAGGTAGTTAAATCAGAAGAAGAAGAAGAAGAAGAAGAAGAAGAAGAAGAAGAAGAAGAAGAAGAAGAAGAAGAAGAAGAAGAAGAGGAGGAGGAGGAGGAGGAGGAGGAGGAGGAGGAGGAGGAGGAGGAGGAGGAGGAGGGGACAGACGTGCAGCTAAGAAACGCAAAGACACGAAACCATTAGACAAGATCACAGATCTGTAAAATTCTAGACAACAATGATCAAACTGACTCAAGCAATAAACTAATTCAGCAAATTAACAGATTATGTACCACAATAAACACACCAACAGCTTCCACACACACACACAATAGCCAGCTAGCTAGTAAAACCATAGCGGAAATCCATTTACATCAGCGACAGAGAAGATAAACCAGCCCAGAGTAAATGAAATACAGAAACACACAAAACCACTATGAGGAAAACATTCTTAAGACTCCTCAAAAGAGTGAAAGTGGGGTATGGAGGATGATGTCATCTGTCCTTACATAAGAGGGCTGGCAGCACGAAGATGCAGCTCTTCCCAAGTTATTTTATTAATGAGGTTTTTTGTTTGTTTGGTTGGGTTTGGGTTTGGGTTTTGTTGGGAGGGAGTTGTTTTGTTTTGATTTTTTTTTTTTTTTTTGGTTTTGGTAAGACAATCCAAATGGAAATGCCAACAAAGCTTATTGTTTTTGGAGCTAGACAAGTTTATGCTAAACCACGCAGAAAAATAAACGTGTGAGACTAGATGGGGCACCGAAAAAACTACATGGGAAACTAGCAGTGCCAAATATTAAAACACAGTCCACAGTCCCTTGACTTAGCACTCTATCTCTGACACACTCCCAGACAGACCGTGGGAAAGAACACAGCCAGGGAGTGAGCCCTGTGGACACTCACTGGCGCCCTGTCCGTGGAGAAAAAACAGTGCGGACAACCCACTAGTCATTTGGGAAGAGATACAGTTCCGTCTTGATGTTATACTGTATACAAGAATAACCTCCCAATGAATCGGGGGACTCAGACCCAAGAAAAGAAATGGCTGAATCTCTCTTCAATCTGTGTACAGGAGAAAATACTAAGTAACCTTGGAACACAGTATTTGGAATATGTGTCCTAGATTAATGTAAGAATGACTTTCTAGAGGCAGGAGAGATGGCTCCGTGGTTAAGAGCACCGGCTGTTCTTCCAGAGGTCCTGAGTTCAATTCCCAGCAACTACATGGTGTGTCACAACCATTTGTAATGGACTCTGATTCTCTCTTCTGGCCTGAATGAAGACAGAGCACTCATATACGTAAAATAAATAAAAAAGGACTTTCTAAACCAGGAGTGGTGGCGCGTGTGCAAGCCCAGGACTGAGAAAGCTAAAGTGTAAGGGCCGCTGTGAGTCCAAGGGCTGTACAGTCAGATCCCGTCTCAGAATTTAAAAAAGTAACTGATTTCATGTGTATGGGTGGTTTGTCTGAAGATGTGTCTGTGGACGTGCTTCCCTGGTAGCCAGAAGAGGGCACTGGATTCCCTGGAACTGGAGTCCACCATGTTGGTACTGAAAATCAAACCCGGGCCCTCTGGCAGATCACCTGTGTCGGAGGCTCACAACTACTGGTAACTCTAGCTTCAGAGAAGTTGATGCCCTCTTCTGGTCTCAGGTGCACACGTCTCACACGCATACACATACTTTTTGTAAATATATAAAGTTTTTTTAACTTTAAATGAGATGTAGTGAAAGGAAGGAAGGAAGGAAGGAAGGAAGGAAGGAGGGAGAGAGAGAGAGAGAAAGGAAGGAAGGAAGGAAGGAAGGAAGGAAGGAGGAAGGGAGGAAGGAAGGAAGGAAGGAAGGAAGAAAAAGTAAGAAAGGAGGAAGGAAGGAAGAAGGAAGGAGGAAGGGAGGAAGGAAAGAAAGAAGGGAGGAAGGAAGGAAAGGTAAAAAGGAAGGAAAGGGGAGGGGAGGGAAAGGAAGGAAGAAGGAAGGAAGAAAGAAGGAAGGAAGGAAGGAAGGAAGGAAGGGAACTAGAGTGGAGAGATAGTTTTGTAACTAAAGTACTTGCTGCTGTTCATGAGGACCCCAATTCAGTTCCTAACCCCTCATGCTTTACAGCTGACCTAAAGCCCAGCTCCAGGGGCTCGGATGCCTCCTTCTGACCACAGAAGACATCAAGCACACTCATGGCATACATATGTATGTCAAAACACTCACACATACAAAAAATTAAAATCTAATAGAATTCTAAATAAAATACATAGTATAAAATTAAAACTTACATGTGGAACTAAAATACCCAAAGCACCATTTTAAAACGTGACAATGCAAGGCTGGGGAGGTGGCTCAGCAGTTAGCAGCAGCAAGTGGGGCCTAGTCTCAAGAGAACAGGGTAGAGAGTGGCAGAACAGGATTCCTGACGTCCTCCTCTGGTCTCTGTGTGCACACCTAAGTGTACAAACTCACATTTATTTGATATGCACTGCCCCCTCCACACACACACGATATAGGAAAGTTTAAAAGTTAAAAGAGTAGCCAGGCTGAGTAGAACAGACCTGTAACTCCTGAGGCAGAAAAATGGGGAATTGGAGGCCAACCTATGAAAATTAGTGAGACTCCATGATGATTTCCCAGACAGAAAAAATAGGCTAATGGCATGAGGGACAATTCACACAAGGTACAAAAGGACATGCAACATACAGACATGTAAAATGGGAGCTGCACTGAGAGACACAGGAGGGTGGAAGGGTGGGCAAGACTTACCCTGTGAGCACCAAACCAATGCCAATCAAGAGAAAACCAGGCTGGGAAGCGGTGGTGCACGCCTT